TGATAAACTAAATTAGAAGGTGATGAGACAAAGACAATGTATAATGAGATTTTTAAAGCCAGGAAGAACTGCTCCTTGGGGAAGTTGGGGGAGAGTTCCTGAATACAGTATTATTTGAACTAGGCCTTGAAGGATGTAATGGACTTGGACGTGCAAGGACACAGGCAGGAAATTCCAGAAAGCAAGAATGTTTGTAAAGGTCCATGGGTAGGAAGAAGTGATGTATATGGAAAACTGAGTAAGTAAGCATGAAGTGGGAAAGTCGGCAGGGTCAAAATATGGAAGGTCTTATAGCCCTGATAAGAAGCTTGATCATTGTCTTTAGGGAAATTGGGAGGCATAAAAAGGGTTTAGGCAAAGGAGTCACACTGGCTGCTATGTGGTGGAAGGTGGATTCAAAGGGGGCATGGCTGACGTTAGGAAGAACTGTTTGCAAGCTGTTCAAGAGCCCTGATTGAGGATGATGGCAGATTGAACTCACGGTGTAGAGCTACAAAGAAATGGCCAATTTCAGAAGACATTTAGGAGACAAAGAGTAGTAAGAAATAAGGCTGGAGGGTTAGACAGAAGTTTGACTTTTAGAGCTATGGGGATCACTGAAGGTCTTCAAATGAACGATTTGATCAAATTGGTGTTTTACAAAATTCACTGTGGCTGCAGCGTAAAGAATTTGGAGGGGAAAAAAGGTACAGGCAGTTAAAGAGGATCAGAATTATGAGGTAAGAGATGCTAGAGGCCTGGTCTAGGGTAGTGGCAGTGGAAATGGATACAAGTGGCAACACCAGATCACCTTCTCCCCAGCCGGCCAGTGCAGTGAGAACGAAGATTTCTAATGCTGGCCCTGTGAGCCTTCAGGCAGAAAAGAAAAACAATGATGGCAATAGCTTCCTTTAATAGAGTGCCGGCTTGCTAAGTGTCAGACTCTACACACACTTTCATTTGTTTTCCACACCAAATCCTCTTTCTAAAGCCTATGAGACAGTAATTACTATCCTCATTCTCCAGATGAGGAAAATGAGGCTCAGAGAGCCACAGCTGGGTCACCTAATGACACAGTCGTTTTGTTCCAATCTGTCTAACTTCAAGTGCATGCTCTTTCAACTACATCAGTGGTTCTTAAACTCAGATGCACATTAAAATCATCTGGGGAGTATTTTTTTCTCTGTCTTTAAATCAATTTTATTGGGATATAATTCACACCATACAATTCGGGTGTACAATTCAATGGCTTTAATACATTCACAGACAGGTGCATTCCTCACTACAGTTAATTTTAGAACATTTCATCACCTCAAATAGGAATATCATACCCTCTAGCTATCACCCTGATACGCCCCATCCCCCACAGCCAGCCCTAAGCAACCACTAATCTCCTGACTGTCCTTATAGATTTCCTTATAAAGGACTTTCATGTGAATGGGATCATATAGTATCTGGACTTTTTGTGACTGGCTTCTTTCACTTAGTATAATGTCTTCAAGGTTCATCCAAGTTACAGTATGTATCAGTATTTCATTCCTTTTTATGGCCAAGTAATACTCCATTATATTTATGTACATATTTTCTTTATCCTTTCAGCCACTGATAGATTTCAGGCTGCTTTCATCTTTTGGTTATTAGGAATAACTTTGCTATAAACCACTCATGTACAATATTTTGTGTGAACATGTGGTTTCACTTTACTTGGGCATATACCTTGGACTGGCATGCTAGGTCATGTGATAACTCTATATTTAATCGTCTGAGGAACTGCTAGACTGTTTTACCTGGGCAGTTTTTAGAATCCACTAATACACTGCCCACCTCACTCATCCCCCAACCTGACCAAATGTATCATACTTGCTGGGATTGGGCGTCACTTGATTCCAATAAGTTACCCTTTAAGTAGACTCCATTGGGCACCCTGCATTGAGCATTACTGCAATACACCATAGTCTCAATGTCATTTGATACATGGCACTACCTAATATTAGCTATTTTTGAAGAATTAGCAAATGCAAGGACTCAACAAGAAGCCAGTGGTGCCTCAGTACTTATTAATTAGCTAAGCCAACTAATTTAGTGACGTAATTCTGGGAAGAGAAGGTTTGACTAGAACTTTCCAGACTTGTCGCTCTCTTTTCTGTCACCAAGACTCATCTTTGAAGCAGGAAAGAAAGATAGCAAATATCAGGCTGAATTTTCAATGTGCTGAGAAGGCCCAGCTTCCACATACTGCTTGTCACATTACCTAGAATAACATCATGAAAAAATCCTTCCTTTGGGCATGGAAAAATTATGGGTCTTCAAAAGTTTCTTAAGAAACTGCAAAGCTCCCTGGCAGAAAGGAACTTGAGAGAGAGAGAGAAAGAGAAAGAGAGAGAGAGAGAGAGAGAGAGAGAGAGGAAGAGAGAGAGAGAACCAGGTAAAGACAAAACTTCTTTTGGGCAAGAGTAAAGGGAGGCGAAATTGGCAGAAATGATTGCTTGCCTTCTCTCTGCCTCTTTCTGCCCTCAGGCTGTTCCATGGTCCCACATTTCTGGAGGATGAGATATATTCTGAATCTGCCAGTAGGGAACACTGAGGGCAGGGATGGAGTGTGAGGGTGGGTGGGGAGGGCATGAGAGGGTCAAAAAGACACATCCTGGATTTCATCATTTCTACCCAAGGAGAACCCCTCCCTATTTGGCTTAGCTCAGTGCCTAGAGATTTACAGCTAAAGATAGAAAATCTTTCCAGAAGTATGTTTACACCAAAACACATGGAATCAATTGCTATGCTAATTATGAATTTTCAGTCCACTTTTATTGCTTAAAGGCCTTCACTCTGGTGACCCTTCGTCTCAACTTGCTGTAAAAGGTGAAACACCACACTGTCAAAAATGAAGCCCTTTCTCATTTTCAGCATGTGGTTTGAAGTTTAGATATGCACAAAATGCTTTCATCAATATTGGTTACAATTTTGACCTTTAAAAGGATTGTGAGATATTATTATCTTTATTTACAGATGAGGAAGGTGAGGCTTAGAGGTAGTTAGATGACTTGCCTAAACCTGCACCATGAATTATAGGCAGCTATAAGAACTAGAACTTCAGTCAGTTGATTCCATACTTTTTCTGCTCTACCCTGTCAAGCTGAATATTCGGCATACCTTGAGAAACATCTATAAGTCAAAGAATCAACCTCAATATAATTTTATGGGTGACCAGGCACAGTGGTTTATGCCTATAGCCCCAGTCCTTTGGGAGGCCAAGGTGGGAGGATTGCTTGAGCCCAAGAGGCAGAGGTTGCACTGAGACATGACTGTGCCACTGCACTCCAGCCTAGGTGACAAAGTGAGACCCTGTCTCAAAAAAATATATTTTTTTATCCTCAAATATATCTAACACCTGAACTTTTAGCGGGAGTAAACAGTAAAAAAAAATCACTAAATAACATTAGGAAATCAGCTAAGCTTGAATAACATGAATTTACAATGAGACTAATTATTGTTCTGGCTTGTTTTTAATATTTGTCAGTGCCATTGAATACAATCTTTTTTTAAATCCTGGATTTGTTGAAAATGTAATAACTATGATGGATTGTCTATCCATATAATTGTACATATATGGAAAATTCTTACACAAATTCAGAGGGTTCATGAAGCCTATCTTTGATCCCCATGAAGGGAACAGATTTTAAAAAAGAGACATAACTATGTCCAGAATTGAGGATTGGCAAGGCATGTATGACCTAAATTTTTAAATGGAGTAAATTGCAAGGATCTATATCCAGTTGCCTACTTAACATTCTCCATTTGGATATCTGATTGATAGAACTCAAAATTCATCCTTGCTAAAATAGAATTCTAGATTTCCCCCTTCCACCTCAACCTGTCTCTCTCCCAATCTTCCCTGTCTCAGTTATTGACACCGCCCAGTTGCTGAAGCCAAGACCTGTCATTCTGGATTCTTCTCTTTTCCTCTCACAAACAATCCATCAAGTGGACCTGTCAGTTTTACCTCCATTGTGTATTCTATATCCTTCAGCTTCTCTTCATCTCTCTTGCCTCCAGTGTAGTCCATACCATGTGAATAGATTGAGAAGAAAATGCTTCATAAAGAGGTGGCATTTAAAGTGACCCTTTATAAAGGTGGAGCTTTTCGAAGTAACTCAGGTAATCCTGGTGAGAGGTATGGTGGCCTCAGACACTGAAGGCAGCAGACTGGTTGGAGCCTGTTAAATGGGTAGAACTTTACTTGTTCCTCTTCCCTTCCTTTTCCTTCTCTTCCTGAACAATTCAATCCCTAGGCCATCATGAAGTCGGGAGCAAGGTATGTGGAAAGGTAGTTTGGAGGGAGGAATCAGAGAATAAGCACGGTGAGAAGGGTGTCCCTGCAGAGCCCCAGCATGGTGTGCAGAGTCAGATGCTGATATGTTTTGGGTGTGTCCCCAGCCAAATCTCATCTTGAATTGTAGTTCCAATTATCCCCATGTGTCATGGGAGGGACCCTGCGGGAGGTAATTGAATCATGGGAGTGGTTACCCTCATGCTATTCTCGTGATAGTGAGTGCTCACAAGATCTGATGGTTTTATAAAGGGCTTCCCCCTTCTCTTCTTTCTCATTCTTCCCTCTTCTGCTGCCATGTGAAGAAGGATGTGTCTGCTTTTCCTTCTACCATGATTATAAATTTCCTGAGGCCTTCCTAGCCAAGCTGAACTGTGAGTCAATTAAAGCTCTTTCCTTTACAAATCGCCCAGTCTTGAGTATGTCTTTATTAGCAGTGTGAGAATGAACTAACTAATACAGATGCCCAGCAGGTACAGAGGGTCAGAGTCTGAGCAGGGTGGGCAGACTGTCCACACATGGGAGTGGCTCAGCATGGTGTGGGGTCAGAGCTGGAACAGGTTAAAGAGGTTGTCCATTCCTGAGTGAGAATGGTGTCCATGGAGGGGCAGCTTAGTGTGGAGTGTGGGAGTCTAAGGAGGATGAAGGAGTCCTTCAAATACTTAATAATATAAAGGGAAAAAGAGTAGTGGAGAAGGCTGGCAGATATACCTTTACCCAAGTGATCAAAGACAACATCACCAGTAATAAAATACATGGAAATCATGTGTCCCTGATGGGATGCAATGAACAGACTAAAGCATCATGTCTATAATAATCATGAGAAAAATGAATAGTCCCAACATAATCACAAGGAAATATTAGACAGACTCGGATGAGGGGTGTTCTACATAACAGTCCTGTAATCTTCAAATATATCTGATTTTTAGATTTAACTAGATGTTTAACCTTGGAAAATCATTGTAACACATATGGTAAATAAGGTGTTAATAGCTTTAATGTAGGCCAGGCATGGTGGCTCAGGCCTGTAATCCCAGCACTTTGGGAAGCCAAGGAAGGTCAATCACTTGAGGTCAGGAGTTCAAGACCAACCTGACCAACATAGTGAAACACCGACTTTACTAAAAATACAAAAAATTAGCTTGGCATGGGGGAAGGTGCCTTTAATCTCAGCTACTCAGGAGGCTGAGGCAGGAGAATCACTTGAATCCGGGAGGTGGAGGTTGCAGTGAGCTGAGATCACGCCACTGAACTTCAGCCTGGGCAACAAGAGCAAAACTCCATCTGAAAAAAAAAAAAAAAGCTTCAATGTATTTTTTAAAACTCACAAAAATAGAAAAGAAAAACTTAGAAAGTCAAGAAAAGCCATTACTCTATGCTCATTTGAGGAATTTTATTTCTTCCACAAATCAGGCTGTAAAGACCCAGTTCTTTCATAGAGCCCTGCCCTTTTCCTTCATTGCACTTTTTTCCTTCTTAGTCGTCATTAATTAAAAATTTGTAGGTCTTTCTATTTAAAGTCTGTCTCCCATACTGGACTGTAGGCTGGAAGAAGGTAGTGCTTTTTTTTTTTTTTTTTTTTTTTTGCTTGTTTTGTACATTGCTATGTCCTCAGTATTTAGTAGAATGCCTGCTGTATAAGTCTTAGTCAATAAATACTGGTAGATTGAATACATGCTGAGAGATAGGGAGAGAGAGAAGTTATCCTGTAAGTTATTTAGAGAAACAGCTCTTTTGCAGGTGGAGTACTGTGCCTAGGAGCCAATGGGGATGAGAATGGTCCGGTCCACCCATCTGTTTTGAATCAGGCCCTAAGACAAGGGAAGGTCCAGCTGTCTGTGGAACTGTGGGGAACTGGAATCCCCCAGCAGAAGCCTTCACAATGCTGGCACCCAAGGCGTGGAGAAACTGTCAGCCTGCCAGCAGGAGATCCAGCCTGAGAACTTGGCAGCCTTGCAGCCTCACCCGGAACTGACACACATCCAGAAGAGTTCACCACAGAAGTTGTCTTTGCCCTGCAGCTCCTGGAAGAGATCCAGGGTCACCAAGCCATAGGGCTCCAGAGCCCAGATGTAAAAGGTGCAATTTACCAACAGCATGTCTGCTGGAAGTTCCCCCAAGAGTAAGTAAGCTCTCGCATAGGTCCGCCTCTCTTATCTCATCTTCAAACAGAAGATCTGGCCCTGAGCCTTTTTCTAAGTAGTTGTGATTTGAGAAGGGGGACATTCCAGGCAGAGAGAAACGTTTAAGTAAAGGTGTGCAACCACAGTGCACATTGGGGTTCTATAAGGAGTCTGTTATGACTGAAGCTCTGGGGAAGTGGTGGAACAAGCCAAAAGACGAGGTTCAAAGTGCAAAAGGCCATCTCTTGAATGCTTTGCTAAGGAAACTGAACTTTACCCTGTAGGCAGTGGAGAGCCGGTGAAACAACCAGTTTCGTGCTGTGACATTTTCACTCTGGGTGCCGCGTGGAGAATTGCTTGGTGTGGGAGGCCAATCACACGGGGGGGCTATTAAAATGTTCCAGACAAAGTATAACGAAGGCTCAGGCAAGGGTAAAGGTGGTGAATACAGAGAGAAATGGTCAGTTAAGAGAGGCAGAACTTGTAAACTAAATGTGAGGGGAAACAAAGGAGGAGAAATCTAGACTGATGATGTTTTCACTGACACAAGCAATAGAGGCAATCAGTGAGATTTGTTTGGATATGTTGGGTTTGAGGAAATCAGAGATTACCCCGGCAGGGGTGTCCAGTCAGTAACTGGATACACAGGTCTGGAGCTCAGAAAAGAAGCCAAGGCTGGAGATGCAGATTTGGAAATCACTAACATATAACTGAAGCCATGGGAGTAAATGGGATCACCCATGGAGAGTGTGTAGCATGAGAACCAAAAGCCAAGGAGAGAGCCTGAGAAATTCCTAATGCTTAAACGATGGCCAGAGGAGAGGTCAGAGGAGACTGTGAAGAAATGGTTCATTGAAGTTGGAGGAGGTAGCAGATGTTATTTCTCAAAGTCAAGACAGGGCAGATTTTTGAAAAATGAAGTGTGGTCAATAGACAGGGCAGATTTTTGAAAAATGAAGTGTGGTCAATAGTATTGAATGGCACTGAGAAGTCAAGCAGGATGAGGCCTGAAAAAAACCTGATTGAACACAGTAATTAGGGGGTTACTGGGGGTCTTTCCTAGGGTTGTTCCAGGGAAGCTGTGAAAGCAGAAGCTTGACTCTGCTAAGATCCTACAATGAAGATATTCCTCCATAAGTATGTAAATGGGAAATAAACCAGCCTTTCTTTTTAAATTAATTTTTATTTTTAACTTCTGGGATACATGTGCAGGATGTGTAGGTTTGTTACGTAGGTAAATGTGTGCCACGGTGGTTTGCTGTACCTAAGAGTCTATCACCTAGATATTAAGCCCCGCATGCATTAGCTATTTTTCCTAATGCTCTCCCTACCCCCACCCCATTTCCAGACAGGCTCCAGTGTGTGTTTTTCCCCTCCCTGTGTCCATGTGTTCTCATTGTTCAGCTCCCACTTATAAGTGAAAACGTGATATTTGGTTTTCTGTTCCTGCGTTAGTTTGCTAAGGATAGTGGCTTCCAGCTCCATCCATGTCCCTGCAAAGGACATGATCTTTTTCCTTTTTATGGCTGCATAGTATTCCATGGTGTATATGTACCACATTTTATTTTATTTATTATATTATACTTTAAGTTCTGTGTAGATTGTGCAGGTTTGTTGCATAGGTATCCATGTGCCATGGTGGGATGTACCACATTTTTTTAATTCAGTGTATTATTGATGGACATTTGGGTTGAGTCCATGTCTTTGCTATTGTGGATAGTACTGCAGTTAACATAGTTTTGTCTTTATGATAGAACGATTTATATTCACTTGAGTATATACCTAAAAACGGGATTGCTGGGTAACATGATAAAACTTTATCTCAACAATACACTTTAAGGTTTAAAAATAAATGCAGAAGTACGTTCCCAGTGTGAAAGGTCAGTATTTTCCTGATAGCATTAGGGATGGCCTAGAATCTTAGAGATCATGACTTGATATTTGGCTGTGGTTCACAAGAGTAGTACAGCCTTCTGGGAGTGCTCTCTGTGGATAGCTGTGCTTGCATACAGATGAACATGTGAGTATTTACCTGCAACGCATGACTACGAAAAGGTCTTCGGCAGAGTTCAAGTTGGAGCCCAGGAAGAAACACATTGGTGAAAGCTGGAGAAATGATGCTGAGCATCTGGCCCAAAGGACAGTAAATCCACAATCAGAAAAAGGAATCATGAGATCAGAAGCAGAAGGAGTCAGAAGTAAGTGGGGCAGAACAGTTAGAGTAAGAAGTTCAGAACCAAGCTGTGAAACAGTTAGAGGGTTAGAGGCCTACTTTTGGTGGTGCTCGGAATGTGGTATGAACCGGCAGGCTTGATGACTTCAAGGAACCACACACTCCTGCCCAGCGAGGCTGGTAATAAGAGCCTTTTCAGAGCTCCCGGCCTAGGTAAAGAACACTGTGGTAATTGTTCAGCCTGGTAACTGAGGAAACATGATTAGGCATGGTAGAAAGAGTTGGACTTTTGGTCTTTCTTGAGTCCCATGGCTATATTAAGTAAAAGCTGTCATTTTCTGAGAAGGCCTTACTTCAGAACCAAGGCTAAAGCATGCTTGCAACTGGACCTCATTGTTCTGTTAGTGTGATTAGTTAAATTGTGTCCCCCTAAAAAATATACCGAAGTCCTAACGGCCAGTACCTCAGAATGTGACCTTATTTGGAAACATGTTTGTTGCAGATATAATCATATTAAAATGAGGTCATAACAGGGTAGAGTAGGCCCTTAATCCAATATGACTGATTTCCTTATAAGAGGAGAAGAGACAAAGTGAGACACAGGGAAAATGCCATGGCACAGGCTGAGATTTAGGTGATGCAGCCCAAGCCAAGAAATGTCGAGGATTGATGGCCACCACGAGTTGCTGGAAAGAAACAAGGAAATATTCTACCCAGAATCCAAAGGGAGCATTGCCCTGCTGATGGTATCTTGTTTTTAGATATCTAGAGACCAGAACTATGAGACAATAAATTTCTTTTTTTTTAAGTCAATCAGTTTGTGGTCATTTGTTTTGGCACCCCTAAACGTCTATTTGTTTTGGAAACTAATAGAGGTAGGAAATATAAAAGTGTCATTGCTCTAGGAACAGTCTTCCAGTCGATAGAATAAATCCCCACAAAGAGGGGTTATTGCAAAGATTCCGTTCAAACTGAAACATCTGGCTACCTGATAGAAGAATTGACAAGCTAAGTGGTACAAGGCTTAGTGACATTCCAAAGATTGGAGATGATCTGTTTTTGGAGAGATTTAAGCTACCTGGGTTCATAATTCCTAAAATTTAAATAGGAAATAAAAATTTATGTCTTTGTTTTGAGTGTGTTTTTCTTATTACAAATCAAATCCAGATTTTTAGTCCAGGTTGCATCCTTATAGGGACAATAAATAGCAACAACCAGAAGATAATTAAAAAGGAAATAAACTTTTAGGGGGTACATGGCCTTTTTATTGCCTTTTTATCTGCCCTTCTCTTTTAATTAATAGACTTTATTTTTAGAGTAGTTGGGTTTACAGAAAAAATAAGCAGAAAGTACAAAGAGTTCCCATATGTTCCCTTTTCCTACCCCTCCACCTTCTGACCTGGCACACAGTTTCCCCTTTTATTAACATCTTGTATTATTGTGGTAACTTTGTGACAATTGATGAACCAATATTAAAACATTATTATTAACCAGAATCCATAGTTCACTTTATGGTTCACTCTTTGTGTTGTGCAGTTCTACCAGTTATAACATATGCATAATGTCATGTACAGTATCATATGGAATAGTTTCACTGCCCTAAATGTCTCCTGTGCTTCACCTGCTCACTCTTCCTTCCCTTTCCCAGGACCCCTGGGAACCACTGATCTTTTTACTGTCTCCACAGTTTTGCCTTTTCCAGAATGTCATGAAGTTGGAATCATACAGTATATAGCCTTTTCAGACTGGCTTCTTTGGCTTAGCAATATACATTTAAGTTTCCTCCATGTCTTTTGTGACTTGATAATTCATTTATTTATATCATTTAACAATATTCCATTGTATCAATGCACCACAACTTGTTTGTCCATTTACCTATTGAAGGATATCTTGGTTGTTTCCAAGTTTTGGCAATTATGAATAAAGCTTCTGTAAATATTTGTGTGTAGGTTTTTGTGTGGACATATTTTTTTACCTAATTGGGGTAA